TGGAGACGCTGCAGGGTGCTCACGTACAAAAGCTGGCTGTGACCTTGTGGTGTCTGAAAGGTGAAGAGGAGAACCCAGTGGCCCCCTGTGTTTGCCCGAGAGAGAGAACATAAAACTAACCCGACTGTATTTGAGGTGTCAGCGGGGCCTTTCAGCCGTCTGAGTAACAGCAGCAGCTGGTGACTCTCACAGAGTAGCACCTGAAATACAGCCCTTTGAGTTAGTGTCCCTGAACGTGCCTTGTGGTATATGGTCTATACAAACTGTGTCTTCTTAGGGAGAAATTAAAAGCTTTTGTCTCAGATTTCTTGAAGGTATGATGAATATTCAAGTTTTAATCAATGAAAAACTCACTGATAACTACCACCTGAATGCTGTTCCTCTTTGGTTAACAGTGTTTTAGCGTCTCTTAGCTCATTGTTTTGGTTTTAGCACCTTACTGTTTTGAGTCACTCTCAACGCTCTTGTCAGTGCTTTCTAGCTGCAGCAGGGATATGTATTCAGCAAAGAAAAGTATAAACCGACTGTACGGAAATTGCAAAAAGAGTCCAATATTTTCTCCAGGGTGTGGTGGAGAACAAAACAGAGCCAAAGGGAGAGTGAGCCTTCATCAGGTGGCCAGATACATGACTAATGAATGCTCACTTTAAAATACATCTTTATTGTGTCAATATGAAGGTTGTTTCGAGGCCAACATGGAGAAAAATGTATAATTAATGCAAGTTTAAAATAAGGATTAATGTGTTTTTCTTAAACCTCTCCAAATATCCAGGTTCATGTTTTTTTCTCATTACGTTCGTTGAAATAATTCTCTTTGAAGGTGATTTCTTTATTGAACAAAAGGTATAAAATGCTCTAACCAGTATTTGAAATATAAGCTAACGATCCCTTTTCTCTGCAGTGTCAGCAGGTAGATCTTCAAAACAGCAGCCCTTCATCCTCAGTGTTGGAATAATCTCAGATCTCAGAACAGTTTGTTTGAATAATTCACGGCGACATTTTACACTCTGCACAGTGAAACCTCAGTCTTTTGATCAACCAGCCAAGATGATTCGACCCCTTTCTCGTATTTACTTGAGATGTTCATTCTCAAAGAGATTCCCTTCAGTGTTTGCACTTAGCATGTTCACTTTGGGAATATCTGCAGCAGTGGAGCCACATTGTGAATATTCAATATTTTAGTATACATTAAATTGTTGAGAACTCCTTTGAAATCAATTTCTCCAGTGAGATTTCTAAACTGTGATAAACAACCATTCATTTAAAAATACATTTCACCTTCAGCCAGAGTTTGTAGTCTGGCCTTATGCTCAAAGAGCAATCAGCCAAAGAATAAGCGTGCCAGAGAAATTTCATTTCTAGGAGAAGCTTGTTTGCCTGCTAAGAGTGCATCAAGGACTAACTGTGTCCTGCATGCAGATCCTTACGGAAATATTGAACCTTCCTTCAGCATGACTCAGGAAGTTTGCAATAATCTTCATCAGCATCAGTCAAATAATTTAATATTTACACAATGCCAGCTAAAACATGCATGCAAATGTGTCCTGCTTAATGTATTCCTTAATTCAAACAGTTAAGGTCAAGATGCTGTTTTAAGTGTGCACAAGACATCATAAACACAGCCAAAAAAAAAGGGGACATATCTGGCTCTCGCCTACAAAATGCCACTCAAAGAGACACAAAAAAGCAAGAGGCTCAAAATGAACACAAAGTGACAAACTATGATGAAAAATAAGACATAAAACGACCACGAACAGAAAAAATGATGCAAAACAACTACCCAAAAATATCTACAAAACAACTCAAACAAAATAGGTTAAACAACCCTGAAGTATAGGCTCATGTCTCTCTTGCTCATATGTAGGAAAGGTGGGGCCTTTTGCCTTTCCAACAGCTCGTAATAAAGAGACATTTTACCCACCCAGACTCCCAAATATTTGCAACACTAAAACATTTATTGTTGTTTACATTGGGTCTGTGAATGTGGTTGCTCTGCATTGTGGTGGCCACTTGTATTGAGTTCAACTTGTGCCATAAAACTTGACACCTTGACCTCAACATGCCACACTACGACGTCTGAGTAAACAGGATCCACAAGCAGTGAGTGTCTGTCTGTCTGTCTGTCTGTCTGTATGTGTGTGTCTCTGGAGTCTCTCGTAATTGTTCAAACAATGATCCTAAAACATGCTGTATGTTATTTTGATGGTCCTTTTTTAAGTCGAGTATTTTAGTCTAAGTCATTGCAATCATATTATAACAGTCAATACATATTGTGTTATATATTAATATACCAGGGACGGGTGGCGCTGTGCGTTTGATCATCAGATCAAGAGGGTGTTGGGGAACTCCAGTTCGAAACCCGCTCCCGCCCCACTGCGTCAGGCCGTTGTGTCCTTGGGCAAGACACTTCACCCGAATTTGCTCCTGTGGGTATTGTCCACAGTACATGTATAAATGTGTACTTGTAAAAGCGCCTCGATGACTTTGAGGTGTGAAGATGGGCGGTGTGGCGCAGTGCATTGATCAAGGGGGTGAAACCCGCCGCCGCTGCGTCTGTAAAGCCGTTGTGTCCTTGGGCAAGACACTTCACCTGAACTTGCTCCTGTGGGTATTGTCCACAGTAGATGACCATTACATGTATGTATGATCTGTATATGTAATGTGTATTTGTAAAGCGCTTTGAGTCATTGATAAAGCGCTATAATAAATATAAGGATTATTATTATTATACCAAACGACTTTAATAAAATATAAACAGAAAAGTACGTTTTTTTATTTATTTAAATACACAGAGGAAAAGTGGGATTTTATCATAGCTGTTCGACCAAGGTACTGCTACTTTTCCTCAAGTAGATTATCTGAGTACTTTTTCCTTATCTGTTTATTTATTAATCTGAAATAAAATAAAAATAGACACGTAAATAAAACAAGTGTTGTGATACCCTTTATGAACAGCAGGCGGTGCTATGCACCAGAATTAATCTGCGCCATAATACAAAAACCGAGAGAAGAAGAAGAACGCCCGACCGGAACACCTGATTGGTTGAGGCGCAGTGACGTCAGAGTGCCTCCTCTTGTCAGTGGAGTCAACATGGCGGCAGTGGATGTCATTGTGGACAACTTGGTGACTCTCTGGAGGATCCCGTCCATCAGACAGAACTTCCACTGGATCTTTTTACTCATCTCGGTGGTGGGCTCGGTTCTGAAGGAGCTGGAGCTCGTCCCGCAGACATACTTCAGCAGCACCAGAAACGCCCTGAATGTGTGAGTAGAGCTGTTGTTATGCTAGCTGAGGGTTAGCTGGCAGAACTGTGTTTTATGCTTTATTTTATTTATTTATTCAATAACAGATATGCAGATCACATATAGTGTATACAAAAGGGGTAGACAATACAAAATTATATTAAATAAATAAATGGAAACATTTGAAGAATACCGTTTCATATTTCAGATGAAATTCTTTTTTATATACACAATTAGTTTTGACTTCCTCTTAATTAATAATGTTAATAATAGTGGGACTATATTATTTACATTTTTGTCTAAGACTTGTAAACACCTGAGCTCTGTTAAGTGCCCCATAAACATTCATCTGTTTGCATCTTGCAATTTATTTATCTATATATCATATTCCATTTATGTGTATATAGACTCTTCTTGCACCTTTTCTATTTCTTTGTATTTACTTGCACATCTTACAACATTCTCTTGCACTATTTTATTTCTCTTCTGTTATTTCTTTGACTATTTGTATTTGTTTAATTTGTTTTATGTCCGATACATATTCATGATGCATTGTTGAAGGAGCCTGGGACTTAAGTTCTTCATGACTATAACTGCACTGTCGCTACTGATGTGCACATGACAACAAAGCCTTGCGTCTTGAATTGAAAGGTGGAGAAAGCTCAGTGATCTAGTTTTTCGGGACTGTGCTGTTACAAATTAAGCAACGCTGCAGTGATGTGAGTCAAAGGGTAAACTGTGGATTAGTGACTAACACTGTGCTGATGAATGGCTCCCTTTATTGGGCAAAGTTCAAGTTGAACAGTTCCAGAGATTAATATAAAGAAGGCAAATTCTTCAGTAAAGCCAAGTCAAGAAATGTCACGGCATTGTTGTTCCTACAGTACACTGTGGAGATTGTGAAATAAGCATTAGTTAATTATTTCCTTTAATACTTTTGGGGTTGAAATGGAGAGATGAATACAAAATGTTTTTACATTGAAAATACTTAATTTGTCCCTTAACGAGTATTCTAAGATAATAGTAATAATACAATTAAATACTTAAAAATAAAGAGTTAAACGCTACACATTATGAAACAAGTATTATGTATGTCTCAGATCTCTGTCCACCTCCGAAAGAGCTAGATTTTATGTTTAAAATTAATATACACAAAAAATTAAGGAGAAACGTAGATAAATAAGTTCAAATATGGGGATAGAATATATCATATTTCTATTATATGTATTTGTGGTAGAAAATAGCAAAAATTAAATGTGTAAGGACCAATTATAAATATGTACAGTATTTATATTCAGGGGTTTAAGAGTGAGATCATTTAACAGTACAGTATGAACTCATAACTCCTACGATACTCATATTAAATCAGGGGTGTCCAAACTACGGCCCGGGGGCCAAATGCGGCCCGCGGACCATTTTGAATCGGCCCTCAGCAAATTCAAAAAGTATAATGAAATATGTTCCCACAAATGAAACTTGTGCTTGTCTTATGTTGTATTTCTTAACTATACATGTACAAATATATCACACAGTAGTATTCATGTGTTAATAAGAACACTTTTCAAATAAATTCAGTCAATTAAAGTTGGAAACATTTTCTAATAAATCTAAGTTGATAAGAAAAAAGCCCAATGACTTATTTACATAACAAGCTTGAAATAGACCCTTCCTATTTCTTCTTATTATAATCACTCTGAGCTTCTGTTTGAAGGGATGAGCTGCCAACACTCACAAGCATCATGTACCTACATTTGATTGATTTCGCTAACTTATAACTGAACTTATGAGGCGATATACCTCTAGTGAGTGACCCAGCCCTTTGTATATTTTTCTGTATGTGGCCCTCGGTGAAAAAAGTTTGGACACCCCTGTATTAAATGCTAATAGCTGTTATCTTCTATTACTGCAATTGAACTGATGTGCCCTGTTCCTCTTGCAGGTATTTTGTCAAAGTGTCGTGGGGATGGACGCTGCTGCTGCTGACTCCCTTCCTCCTCCTCTCCAACTCCTCCTTCAGCCGGAGCGTCTCCTTTCTCTCCCGCCGGCTGCTGTCTCTCGCCGTGGCAACAGCCGTGTGGTACGCCTTCACCGAGACCTTCTTCTACATCGAGGACGCCACCGGCTCGTGTTACGAAACCGACGCCTTGGATGTCGTCAACAAGGAGTTCGTGTCCAAAGCCAGCTGCAGGCGGGCCGGTTTCCTCTGGGACGGCTACGACATATCGGGACACTCCTTCATCCTGGCCTACTCCGCTCTCTTCATCGTGGAGGAAACGGCGCCCATGGCCTCCCTGAGGACCGCCAAGCTCTCCGCTCTCCCCAGGATGGTCCTCAACCTGCTGTACGTGGCTTTGAATCTGATCGTCATCGTCTGGGTGTGGATGTTCGCCTGCACGTCTGTTTACTTCCATGACCCGTCCCACAAGTTGCTAGGCACCATATGTGGCCTGATCGCATGGTATCTGACGTATCGTGTTTGGTATCTGAAGCCTTTCTCCCCAGGCCTCCCCCCTCAGCGCCACCCAAAAGAACGGAAACAGCACGCCTAATAAGCCGATGTCGTATTTTCCTGTGCAACATCTAATATTGCAGCCATCCTCCTAACAACACACTACAGTTGATGTTATCTGTCTCCAGGTCCAAGCCGGCCATTCCATTTAAAGCTATATTTAAGTTATTCCCTCCTCACACAGAAAGGTCGTTTTGTACAGGATGGAGTTTGGCAGCTGCTGTTCCCAAAATGACTCGTGGTAATTTGAGATGAGTGCAAGACGCTGCTCTGCTGCTTCACCAGCGCTTGTCCCCCAGTGTGTTGCCTTATGGATGAGTATTTGCAGTCCAATGTCTGAGTGGGAACACTTAACAATGTTTACATCTCCAGTTGTATAGCAAATGTATTTTATGTAAAGAACATATACATTGTTTTTACTAGAACTAAGTTCAGAACAAATTCGGATCAGAAACTGTAATTGCAGTGTGCCTAAATTATTTACCGACTCAAACAAGCTGCTAAATACTGTTTTGTTTGGAGTCAACATCAATGTGTGTCAACAATATGTTTTGCTCGGAGAATGTAGAGCTTGAATAGAATATAAAGAAATATTTTAATTTGTCATCTTACATAGACTACAGTTGTAGGCAAATGATTACTAGTATGCTTTGAAGGTTAAGGCTGGAAATAAAATTTCAAATGTTATCCCTCACCATTTTCTAATGCCCAAAGTCACATCCTCAAATGTTGTGTTTTGTCCAGGAAGTAATGTAAAACCTTAAGATATACAATTTAAAATCACCTAACAACAATTTACTCTAACTCACCGTTTTAAACCTGGAACCAGAGATAGTTTGGCTTCTCAGCTTGAAAAGTAATTATCAAAAGAGTTGCAGATACATTTTCTGTTGATGGACGAACTAGTGTTGCAGTCGTCATCATATCTTTTGTCAACAACAGCATGAAAAGACCAAAATACTCACTAACAAGTATTGCCAAAAGCTGGTGTATCTTAATTCTTTGTGCCATTGAGCTCCATGGTTGTCCATAAGTAAACCAAAAGCTAACAAACTGAAAATGGGCAGTAATGTTTTTTTTTTCTAGTGCCACATACATTGTCCTGTTGCCATAAATACTCGCTATATTACCAAATCTGTATTAAACTAGGTCTGAAAATAGTGCATTACGTGCATTATTAACTCGCTACAGTATCAAGCTGCCAGGGAATTACCGTTATTCAAAAACTGAAGGTTTGTATTTCTTTTTAAAGATTTATGGTCTAATAACAAAAACCAAATCTGAGTGCTAAGGAAATATAAAGATGTTATTCTTGTTTTGGTCTTTTCATGTGATTTGTTGACAATAAGGAGGATATGAAAGATAACGCCAGCCCTTTCCTGTTAGGATGATTTAGGGAAACTTAGCAGTATTTTTTAGAATGTAAAAGACCACGGTCACAAGCAACTAACTGTTTTTGCATTGATGTGTGCATAATGTGTAACGTGTTGAATCCACAGAGCTCTACAGTGCATGGGAGCACGGTGTGTTTTGAGATGAAATAAAAACCAGGATTTGTGTGTATTCCATTTTCATTATTTATTTGTCATTGATGGCAACTGAATAAATTAAGGCTTATGAACAGACATCATAAAAAGCACCATAAATAAATGCATATATATAAATATAAAAAATAAAAAAATACTATTGTGAAATATAATGGCCACAAATCACAACTAGGATTTCTCGACTTGAACTCTTTGTGTGTGTTCAAAGAAGATCCCGCCCTTCAGGTAGCAGTGAAGTCAAAAAAAAGGATTTCAAAGGCGCTCAATGATTGGCTGGTTTTGACATTTTTTGACGTCATCTGCTGCGTGTTAATTAACTAAATGAGTGAATGTTTGAGCATCAACATAAATAACAATTAAGCTTTTTGATTGAATCGCAACAGGAAATGGTATTTTACATTTTACTTTCCTCTTGCTTACTTCACAATTTGACAATGTCTGATATATATATTTTTCTATATCTCCTCTTTTATTCCATTTACATCACTGCAGCTCATGCAAGAACAGTTTAAAAACCAAATAACATCCTTGTTTCCTTCAATGCACATCTCAAACATCTTCTTTCCAGACAGTTTATTCTATATGGCTATACTGCACCCTCCAAACATGAAACTGAACACAATGAACGACAGCTTCCCCACCTCTTAATTCTTCTCTATAATTAGATTTATCATCAGCACGAGGTGCCGCTATTAAAGGAGCATTGATCGTCTTTGGTTTGTTTTCTGCTGCTAATCACCCCTTGCAGAGACGAGTGTCTGTAGCAGGAGAAAACAGGGAGCATCCTGACTGAAAAATAAATGACCTTCATTATCAAAGGCTTTGTATGTACAGAAATAGACGCTTTACTGTGTGTCGTAACTGCAAATAATTCCTGTATAAACCAGCCATAAAACCAAAAGCAGCTTACAACTCACATCATGAGTTAAACCTAAAGAGTGCTGGGTTCAGGAGCAGCATTATGACATGTTAAACCCTGGAGGTCTGACTATGAGGAAAGCAGAGAGGCTCCAATTAAGGGTGAACAGAGTTAGAAAACTGCATCAACAAACAACAAGACAGCTGGTAAGGCTTTTTCTTTTTCCTTGTCATACTCAGATGAGTCAGCTTTTCCTCCCCTGTTCCCCTTATTTGACCTTTGAGCTCATTACAAATTCAGTGCGGTAAAATAAACAAGACAATGTATAATTAAAAATATCTATCTGTAAAAACAATCTTGCATCTGTCAGGAGGAGTCAGCAACAAACAGCAGTTCAATCCAGGGATTTCTCTCTTTGCTCAGTATTGCTGAGGGACCGTCTCCAACATGTTGAACAGTGCAGGTGATTCAAAGGTTACAAATAGCAGGAGAACATTTAATAATCCGTGGTTTAGATGTTCGGTAGTGATCATAAATTCTGCCTCCGGGGCAGTGCCCACCCATCACGAAACGCTTACACAATAAGAAAGTAACCCATGCAATTAAATACACATCCTAAACCTAATGCAACACCAGACGCAGAATTTACAATTTTACTACCAGTTCAGCCAAAGTGTAACTTTTCAAACACCCAAACATTTGTGTAACATCTGAACTCCTGCTCAAACAGAGTGACAGTGAACCAGTGTGTGTGTGTGATCTGTGGTGCACTACATGAACTGAGTGTGTGTCTGTGTTTTATTGTGTGTAGTGTTTACAGTTAAAGGAATAGTTTGACCTTTAGGGAAATGCACTTCAATGACATTCTTGCCAAGAGTTAGATCAGAAGATTCTTATGTCTGTGTTAAATATGATGCAGCAGAAGCGTGCTAGCTTTGCTTGAAGACTGGGCTGTGAGCATCATTGAAACATGTTAAACTGGGCTGGCTGTAAGCTCTTATTCCAGTGTTTATGCTAAACTAAGCTAAACTGGCTTCGCTAACTAGCTTTTAGCAACATTGAACTGTTGGGGTAAACTGACTGTGGCTGTTAGTTCTTATTCCAGTGCTTATGCTAAACTAAGCTAAACTGGCTTCGCTAACTAGCTTTTAGCAACATTGAACTGTTGGGGTAAACTGACTGTGGCTGTAAGTTCTTATTCCAGTGCTTATGCTAAACTAAGCTAAACTGGCTTCGCTAACTAGCTTTTAGCAACATTGAACTGTTGGGGTAAACTGACTGTGGCTGTTAGTTCTTGTTCCAGTGTTTATGCTAAGCTAAACAAGACTTTGCTAACTAGCTTTGAGCATCATTTAAATATTTGGGGCAAACTGGTAGTGGCTGTTCGTTCCAGTCTTTATGCTAAGCTAAGCTAAACTGGCTTTTACTTCATATTCAACAAACAGACATGAGAGTGTTGTCGGTCTCAACATCGAAGCCTCGAGAAGAAAGTAAATACCAAAAATGTCAAACTACTCCCTAAAAGTTTGCCTCCTTCTTTCTTCTTCTGGCAGTTTCTGGCAGCAAAGCACTTATCTGAAAGTTTGTCATGTGACATTTTCCTGCGGTTTTCCTGGCTAAACCTCAGGCTGATGGAGAAGTGAAGAGCAGGTATGAGAAATGACTATAATAGTGGCATGCGAAGGTCAGTTACCCCTGTTGGTGTTTCTGTGTTTAACATTTTGTCTGGGTTTCTTCTATACATTTTTAAGTATGAGAAGACCCAAAGCATGCCTCCAACTAAAGTCAAACAAGGACTTGCCGGCCGCAAGTTGCCCAGAAATCAAACTCGATGAAGGCCTTGATTACCAGAAAATGTGCTGTCAAGAATTTCTTATTACGGAATGTTTTAATATTCTTTGTTCACCCAGGTAAGTAATAGTGTTCTCTATATAGATTCAATATGTTTCCTGCAGTCATAAAACATTACAGAAAAGTTGAAACATCACACAAATACACAGACATTTAACACAACAAGAAGGCATTCACTACATGTATTTCTTTTTTAAATACCAGTAGGCAAAGTAGCCCATGCCTCCCAGCGAGCCCATGAGAAAAGAGGCGCCGAAGAAGGACGGTGGCTTCTTTTTTACCATCCGGAAGGCGTTGGGTAGGACCGCCGACAGCAGGGTCGTGTGGATGTCGCCCAAGACCTTGCGGAAAGCGTAGCGTTTTTGCACACGCACAAAAAAGGACTGCAGGTTGGGTCGGCTGCCGTCCTCCCAGTATTTCTTAGAAAGTCCCAAGAACTTGAGCCTGTGCAACAAGGCTCCGAGCCAGACGTCAGCTAGTGTAAAGTCAGGTCCACATAGCCACAACTCACACTTTTGACCTACAAGAGAATGAGAGACTCATTAAAGGTAATATTAAGCTATTATACTATTTTTCATCAATATATTATAGGTCTCAGATATATACAAAACATGTCTCTGAAGTGTTTGGCTCCAAACACCAACACCATTCGGGGGGTGATTGGTTGGTTGGTGATTGGCTAATGGTTACACAAGCCAAAAAATCGTTATGACATCATAAAGTGGCCAAAATCTGATCAGCTCATTTTCAGACAGGTTTTTATATAAATGGATCAGGACAAAAGGAGAGAGAATATTTTTTCTTGAAACTTTCAGAATCTCTTTACACAGAGGGGACACATGTTGATGTAGAAGAGACATGAATAAGAGGGTTTTGCATAATAGGTGACCTTTCTGTTAAACCCCGCCTGTTTTTCAGGTTTCAGGCTCGAAAATGACATTCCCAGAACAAATGACCATATCTTCCCTTCTAAAAGGGTTAAATTAATAATCTTTTTTCTCAGAGTAATGATAAACCTGTCAGTTGGATGTAGAAAAGTCAGATTCAATATAGATGTTTTTTATTTTAAAGAAAATTCAGATTGAACATGGTAAAAAACTGTAAATGATAGTGTCCGTCCAAAAAATATTTTGTACTTATAGTGAAAACTAACGGTGGATGATGGGTTAGTAGACTAAAAGCTTTAGGAATCCAAAGTACAACATATAATAAGTACCCTGTATCAAGATTGATGCAAAACAAGTGATATTCGACCTTTTTAGACAGATTTAGCAAAAAAAAACCTCTTCTGGGGCCATTTGGGTGGATTTTTCATATCTCTGGCCCCCCCTGCTGGATTTTGACATGTGACATCTCTTTCTAACCGTCAGAGCCAATGGAATCGAAGGGAACTCCCAAATAGTCCTTATTTGGTCATGTGTGTGTGTTAGACTGCCGCATAGCCAAGACCGGAAGCAGCAGCCACTCTGGTGGCTACCATTAGCAGCTAATTTTTGCTCTGCGATTTTTACATAAAAATGGAATTATGGATTATAAATAATTCAAATGATTGCCCAGAAACTTTATCAACCTATGGATTAACCGATTCAGCCGCGTGTTTTTCTCGTTTTAATGCCATTGAACACGTCTTTTGATCAGATTAACAGCTACGGTGAGACGATCTCCCTAGAAGTTACGTAAAGGTACGTGTTGTGATGTCTGTCTTTGCTTCCCCTGTCGCAAGTTTGGATCATTCAGTGATGATACTATATACCTAAATAATCTGTGGAACCTCAGCTTTAATCGGATATCTTGTATGTGCAGCTACGATAAGTAA